TTCCTAAACATTCTACCTGTATCTTCTAATTTAGGAATTCTCAAATCTTGGTTCAATGAGTTTGGGGAGGTAGGAGGAAATTGCCTGAAGTCTTGGGCATATATGAATGCACTTGCATTTTTCTGGGGACTCAGCCCATAGTTTCCATCAGATTTTCAAAAGGATCTGTGATTCCTTGAACTCTGGGTTCTTAGTTTTGTTCTCTAGCTATAGCAAGGTATTGTAGCCAGTCTAGAGAAAGACTAGTATTTTGGAGTTCCAACTATGCATTCAGCTCTAATCTAGTTATAGGGTCATGGGGCAATGGGAATAGATTTTGGCTGATAACATACAAATTATATCTCTAAGGGTGCTAATACATTATTTGGCTCCGAATAATTTTCCAGATGTGATCCATTCATTTATTCTTGTATTTATTTATCCAACAGACTTATTCACTGAGTATACTATTTTCCTAGGGTTGGTGTAACAAATTACCACACACAAGGTGGCTTAAAACAACAGAAATTTATTCTCTCTCAGTTCTGGAGGCTAGAAGTTTAAAAAAACGTACCAATAATACCATGCTTTTTCTGAAGTTTCTAGAGGAAGACACTTCCTTGCCTCCTCTAGCTTCTGGTGGTTGCCAGCAATCCGTGGATGTCCTTGCTTTGTAGACACACCAGGCCAATTTCTGCCTCTGTCATCACATGGCATTCTCCTGGAGTGTCTTTCTATCTCTTCTTGTAAGGACAACAATCATATTGGATTAAAAGCCCACCCTATTCTCATATGACCTCATTTTAACTTAATTAACTACATCTGCAATAACCCTATTTCCAAATAAGTTTGCATTCTGAGGTTCTGGGAAGGACATGAACTTTGGGTGGATACTATCAACACAATACACTGAGCATCTCCAGGTACTAGATATTGTGCTGGGCACTAGAAGATAAATATAAGAAAAATCACTGCCTAGGCATAATAATACTTAATGCTCTTTTTTAATTTAATTTAATTTTTATTTATTTATTTAGTCCAGTAATGTTCCTTCTTTTTTTTTTTATGTTTTTTTTGTTTGTTTGTTTATTTTTGACAGAGAGAGAGAGACAGAGCATGACTGGGGGAGGGGCAGAGAGAGAGGGAGACACAGAATCTGAAGCAGGCTCCAGGCGCTGAGCTGTCAGCACAGAGCCCCACACGGGGCTTGACTGACCGTGAGATCGTGACCTGAGCCGAAGTCAGACGCTCAACTGACTGAGCCACCTCAGTCAGCCTTGGTGGCTCCCCCAGTAATGTTCTTTCTTGTTGGGATTCCTTTAGTTGTCCCAGGGTGGTGTAGGAATGTCCCAGGGTGATTATGGAGGTATCTAGGCCTTCACTTTGATTTTCTTCTGAGCCCACATTCCTGTCTATTTTTGCAGGGAGCAAGAGAGCTGGAGTTCATCCAGTACAGAGCTTGATTAACTTTCTGTGGTCAATATAGCTACAAATTCTCTCTTTCCTCAAAAAATGAATTTGTGACATGGGTATGTACGGCAACTGTGAACAGATCAACATTACCAGAGTACTCTCTGCAGAGCGGGAATGTTGGGAGATGAGCTGAAGAGGTAGGCAGAAGTCATGGAAGGACTTGCATGCTTTGCTTATGGTCTTAAGTGAGGAAGAGACAGTCATAGTTACATGTACTATGATTTCTTCTGGCACAGGGTGGAGATGAATTGGAGGAGGGACCAAAATGCAGGTAGGGAGACCAGTTAGGGGGCTATTACCATGATCTAAGCAAGAAATGGTAGTCATGGGGAAGAACTAGAATCCAAGTTAATTGGCCAACTGGAGGGGTTAAGGGAGAGGACAGAGCCAAGGATAAATTGCAGTTGCTGGCTGAGGAAAATATATAGCACCAGCTGTTGGATTTCAAACCACTGACCTTGTCTTAGGGGTCCACGATGCTTCTTAAGTGCCCAGAGCCTGTTGGGCTGTAGGGGAAGGCTGAAAACTCCAGGGGAGCATGATTTCGCTTGTAATCACCCTCTGTTCTCTGAGGCAAGTCCCATAGAGGGAGCTACAATAACTGGCTCTCTGACAGAGAGATGCCTGCTTTGCTTATTCTAACAGCAGTGTTGGTGGGTGGACTTTTAAACATTCCAGGATGCCTTGGTTGGGAAAAGGGACATCTCAAGCTGGGAGGTGACAGCCTAGGTTGGCTGTGAGACATTCTTTTGTCCCTTGACCATTTTAGCACTATGCACTCAACAAGTGAGCTGAAGTTATTTCCCCAAACCAGAATAACACTGGTGACTTTTTCATGCTTGGAGGGAACAATTAACTCATCTTTTCCAAACAACTCTCAAACTTCTTAGAGAATCTGTCATTATTTCTCAAATTTCTCATCTTCAGGGAGAGTTTGGAGACTGGACACAGGGTGAACACTTGAGGAGTACATTAAATGGGTCATCTGGACTTGGATATTGTAATTCTTGAGTCACTTTGCCCCGGTGGGGGGCTCTTATTGGGCTCCCCTGCAACCCCTTTTATGTAAGAACACAATGAGGTGAGCTAAATCAAACCCACTTTGGCTCCTCAAGTGTATAAGCTTCCCCACTGGTGACCATGATCCTCCTGTGATACCCTCTCGTGTGGGATGAAGTCATTAAACATAGATCATGGAAAAGCAGGGTCTAATTCCCTGCTAATAAGTAACACATGACTTGGAATAAATGTATTTCACAATCCCAAGAGAAGTTAATCACAGTTTTAGTGATATTTCAAAGAAACAGTTGATTCTATGGATACCCACAATTCAGCACTCAGGGTTGGGGGGAAAAAAAGCAGAAAGCAGAAAGAGAAAAATGAATACAGTGTAGAAATAAAGGGATCTTTGGCAAGTTACTTAACTTCCCTATATCTCAGCTTTAGGGAAATGGGAATAATAGTATCTATCTCAGAGAGTTTGGAGAGAATCAGATAAGAAGTGCACAGTGCTTAGTACACTCTACATATGTGCCTGGTGCATCAAAACCCTCAATGTTACCATTTATTATAACTCTGGGATACAGGAAATGAGAATAACAATAGAAAGTCAACTAATATTTGTAGAATGAATGACTGAATCAAGGTGTCAGGGGCTCAGAAGCAGTGCTGTGTTCAGAATTTTCTCTTGCTATCTTGCTCTCTCTCTTTCTTTGCTGGGTTTTCCCTTTGATCTTTTTCTTTTTTCTTTCTCCTTTTTTTTTTTTTTTTTAATGCATTCCATCTTTGTGTTTCCTTTTTCTTGGTTCAGAGTGACAGGTAAGAAAGATCTCTGGGTTAAAAGAAGTGTCCCCAAGGAGAATGAAGCTAGCTAGCTCCATTCTAATTTTTCTTGAAGTCTGATACTATGCAAAAGGCTAACCCTTTCTTTCATTTTTTAAATCAAGTGTCCAGGACAGGAGAGTAAGAGACACAATAATTTTACCTCTATACATGCTGTAAGTGCCTTGGAGGTAGAAACTGTTGAGTATTTATTTTTTTATTTAAAGAGCAGTTATTTTTGTTTGTTTGTTTGTTTAAGGTAATGTCTGTGCCCAATGTGGGGATTGAACTCAAGACCCTGAGATCAAAAGTTGCATTCTCTACCAACTGAGCCAACGAGGTGCCCCAAAACTTGAGTATTTCCATTCATAAGCAGAGCCCAAACCTGGTGTGTTCTGACGAACAGAAAATTGTGTTTTTTTAATTTAAAAATAAGAAAAGGCAGTTGAGACAGCATTCTGATTGGACGGCAAAGACTGCATTTGGATTTTTTTCGGTAGCCACTTGAACTGCTTGGACAGATTTGGGGAATCCTGAGAGACAAACATGGAGCAGTTATAAATATATAATAGTGGTGGTGTGAACTGAAAGGAGACTTAAGTTATCTGAAGTAAACATTTTGTACAACTTGTGGACCAAAAGCCACTTAATGAATAGAGGAATTGTCGGTCGCCTTTCTCTCATCAGAGATGAACTAACGGAATTTCCTTGATGTTCCATTTAACTCTTACAGTGAAATAGATTCCCACCTTAAATAAAGTAAGAATCCACTTTTATAGGGGGAGATCCCCTAAGCAGGACCTGAATGGAGAACTTGAAAGTTTATTTTTTAACCTTCTTTTTTGTCACTCACTTGTACTAACAGTAAAATGAAACTTCCTTGTGACTTGAGAGGATGGTTTGGTTTGAAACATTTGTTCTCATTTTCTGGGGTTCCTTTGACTTTATCAAGCCATTTGGCTTTTCAGGAATGCTACAGGGAGCACTGGCAAATGCATGCTATGCTAGAAGCTGAGAGCACTGCAGGCCAAGTATTACAGCATTGACTGACTTTCCCCTAAAAAAAGTGTGCTATTTACAAATTTAATTCCTTGGAAATGCTAAGTGCAAATGGTGATGAAAATGGCAACAAATCATCCTTAGAATGAATTCTGCTAAAAATCAAATAGTTTCCTTTTAGGCTGGTATGTGTCTTTGTGCAAGGGTGTCAAGTGCATCCATTTGACATCTATGTCAAGCCTCATGGAATGAAACCCAGAAGTTAACAATGGGATATGCAGCTATAACTATGGTATTTCAATGTTAATTGTGAAGGATAGAGAAAGAGAGAGACAAAGAGGGGAGATGTACATGTGAGATACAGTTTTTTAAAAACAAATTAAATGAAAAAAGATCTTACCTTAACATTTAGGTTTTTTTCTCCTTAAGTCTGCCTTCCTTTAGATCATCAAAGACCAGTCTGAACCGTCTCATACACACAAGACCCCTTTTATTTAAAATAGTCTGCATACACACATACGCACACACACCACTGCAGCCGCCACCACCACCACCAACCTTTCATTTCTTTTATGAAAGAAATCCATAATTTCTAAGCAACGTAAAGCTCACCTAGGCCCATAAACTAAAGAATGGACTCTATATCCCCATCATATCTAACTCACAGGACTTAATTAGCAGATTAGCAAACAGTTGTACTGGCAAAACCTTTTGAGTTGCTTATTTACCTGTTTCTGCTATAAAGTCTCCTGTGATTGGACCCTTCCCTCTTTTGGAAATCCAGTTATCTTGCTGGCAAATGTTGCAAGCCTGCAAAAACGCATCAGGAGAGAGGCAATGTTTCACTTCTTTCTCTGTAAATGCACTGGATTTGCTGTTGTTGTTGGAACTTGTGAAATTATCTCTTGAGGGTTTTTGTTTGCTTTTTGTTTTTTTTAAAAGAACAACAACAAAAAGAGTGTTGCCTTCAAAATTCACAGTTCCTGGAGCCAGTGGTAGAAAGAAGAGAAACTTAACTGTTTTCACTGGAATTGTTTTCACTCTTTCCCCAAAATCATTTCCTGTTTGTTAAAGAGCACTCCAATGGGAGGTAGACCTAAATTATTCCCCATTCCATAACCTTAAGGGCCATCTAAATTCTCTGTGCCTCAGTTGTTCCTTCTGTAAAGTGTGGATAATAAAAGGGTATTTAGAATGGGGTGCTTGAACACCCTCTCTTCTGAGCTCATGTTCAATGCTAATGCTCAGGTTGATTCCAGAATTCCATATTAAGAGTCTGTAAAATGAGAATGAGAGTAATTTCCACCTTATAATGTATGGATTAAGTGAGTTGATGTAAGGGCTTAACACAGAACTTGCCCATTGTAAGCACTCATTAAAGGATAGCTATCATCTTATCATTTCATTATGATAATACTGCTATGATATATATGATAATAATACTGTGAAGATTCTTGTGATTCTTCCAATAGACCTTTAGAAAGAAGGTTTCCATGCTGCTAAGGTTTGTTGTTCTCATGCTCTTGTTCAGTGGGCTCTTGGTTTGTAAGCAGCATGAACCTTCTCACTAAGCCTGTGTCCTGATCCTCAGGCTAGAATGAGCAAGGGCAGAAGCCATAGCAATGGAGGAAATCTCTGGAGGGACTCTTAGTCCAACCTTCCAAATGGTTCCTGGTGATTTCTGGGAAGTACTTCTCAGGCTCATTCTTGATGCCAGGCCCTTGAACCCCAATGTAGAAGCATATGCAAGAACAGGGAGCATCCAGCCTTCTAGAATTCAAACAGCATTTATGAGTCTTCTGCTTCTCACTTAAAAAACAAAAATAAAACCCCTAAATTTTCTGGGGACTAGCACTGAAAATGCCCTCCTTAATTCCATTCAGTCCTGATGTGAAATATTTTCTTCACTTATTGTTTCTTCAATTCTGGGTTAAATTAAAAAGAATAATAGAGAATGGAAGACATTAAGGCCTCAGTAAATATTTATAGCATGGTGATTAGGGGCACAAGCTATAGCCAATTTGCTGGTCTGTGGCTCACCTTTCAGAGCCCAAGTTTCCTTGTATGTAAAATGAGGAATAATGATACCTACCTCCTAGGATTGTTGTGAAGAATAAATGAAATAATTATATATTAATAACAATAGTGCTGACATGTACTGACCTCTGTTAGATGCCAAGTACTATGGTTAAGACTTTGTGTAGATTAAAACTACCATACTATATCATACTCAGACCTTAGCATAATGTCAATGCTTAATAAATGTTAGCAGTTATAAAGGTAATGATCATTAACACAGTAAGAAGGGCCAATCTTCACTGTTGTTGGCAACATATTTGTACAGTCACGCTCCCTTTCACAAAGCTGGTCCAAATCACTTGTCACTCCTCTCTCCCTCTTAGGTCTCTCTCCCGCTGGCCATACCACATCTTCAAAGCATACTGCTTTGTGGAAAAGATGGCCAGAGTCAGAATCTTTGGGAGACCTGGGTGGAACTTTCAGTGTGGCCTGGCCTGTGATTACTCATGACACTAAACAGGCTGTGTTTAGCCTCACTGATTTCCCATCTTCAGAATGTGATCAAGATACTGCTACTCAAAAAAATAAAAGTAAAATAAAGATACTGCTCCTCATTTGTTGTTAGTACTTTAGGATCATGGAGAGAAAGATAATCTGTAACACAAAAGATGGTGTTTTGGTTCAATCTCCATTTGAGAGGCTGGTGTGGGAAATAAGTGAGGTGAGGAGTGTGTGCTGACCTCTGGCAAAGGTTCAACAAAGGACAACACCTTCCATAAGTCAGTGTGCTATACCCAAGGCCTAACACAGCACCTGGCACGTCCTAGTTCCTCAAGAAACAATTTGCTGGCACTGAAGAAACTCATGATTTTAGCTCCAGGACTTGTTCCCTACATCTGCTATACCTCAGGGACCAGCTGCTACCCATCTCTCCATCCAGCTATCCCAGATCTGGAAACTGGAACTAAATGCTACATGCCATTTATTTTTCTTTGGAAATTAAAAAATATAATTGGGGCTAAGTTATGCCATACAAACTGTCATTGTTGGTACTATACTTCCTGCTCCCTGTCCTGTCATACCCTCCCCAAGATGATTTTCCCTCTGATTGACTTGGCCTCTGCAAGGCCAAGCTGAAGTTTGGGGAACAAGTTTTCCAAAGGTGAGTAGTATTAGGTTGTTGTCTCACCAAGATCATTTGAGCAGCTTGTTTTCATTCATGGACTATATGGAACTTTATCTTCCCCTGCCTTTGTTTCTGCTTCCTAAATGCCCTTTCTTGCTCCTGAAATGCCCATCTCTCAGGGATCACTTCTAATGGTCCAAGCTGAATCTGATGCCAGAGTCAAGATACATAAAGAGATTTGCAGGTGTGAAGCATTAAAGGAAGTGAAATGCAAAAGAGGTGGACTTGAGCTCCCTAAAAGGACTTTGCAGAGTGAAGCAGACTCCCCAGCCAAAGTACATTTGAATTCCTCACAATAGCTTCCATTTAATTTTGTTAGTTTGAAGTCTTCTGAAAAAGACTTTAGGGACAATGACCTAGAGAAGCATTTAAGTTTTTGGCTGAGTGTAACGGATCCAAATCAAGAGCCTCTGTCCTATTATTTCAGCCACATAAAATGTTGATTTGGCACTGAAACACCCAGCAACGGCAATTCCAGGATAACAAGACTGCAGCCAACCTGGTTGTGATAAAGACATGGTCTTTGAGAGAAACCAAGATTCCATGCAATAACACCCCTTTGGTATTGAGGAAGATGTATTGTCAGATGGCAGAATGCAATTGCTAATGAAGAAGAGCAAGGAATGACACAGTAGCCAGTTCAAGAGACTAGACAACTCCAAAACTTACATTTTGGCTTCAGTATATAGTAATACAGTAATGATTTTACTTTTTGAATTGGGCTTGTGAAGGTCAATGTAATCCTCATTTTCCTTCACAGAGCACACACTGGCTTGGTTGGCTAGAAAGTAAGACATACTGGCCCGCAGGAAAAAAACACAAGAAAACAAAACAAAACAGGGATTTCAAACCAGCTATGGATAATCCACAAAGGGGTGGGCCAGTTCATACTTCCTCCTGGCTGCTTGGAATCACAGGATGGTGGAGGAAGACCTTTGTCTCACAAGTTACCCTCACCAGATGAGGAAAGCAAGACCCACAGAGGTGAAGAAACCAATATAAGAGTGCACAAATTATGGATCACATAATCTGGGTTCTTGGGAAATGTATTCTTGCTGGACACCCTCCTGCCCCTGCAATTAAATGGTCATTCCTACCACTGAACTTCCATAGCACTTTTCAGGACAGGTTGTGTGGCATATTATAGAAAGTGCACTGAGTTCAGAATCTGAGCACACATGAGAATGATTCCTTTCTCCTCAGGTGTCACTTCACCTCACTGAGCCTCTCAGCTTCTTCATCTTTAAAATAGGAATTATTATAGGGGTTCCTGGCTGGCTCAGTGAAGCATGTGACTCTTGATCTTGGGGTTGTGAGTTCGAGCCCTACAGTGGGTGTAGAGATTAGTTTAATAAAAAAAAATCTCAGGGGTGCCTAAGTGGCTCAGTGGGTTAAGCGTCTGACTCTTGATTTGGCCCCTCGTCATGATTTCACGGTTTGTGAGATTGAGCCCTGCATTGGGCTCCATGCTGAGCAGAGCCTGTTTGGGATTCTCTCTCTCTGCCCTTTCCTGGCTTGCATGCTCTCTCAAAATAAATAAATAAACTTAAAAAAAATAATAAATAAGTAAAAACATCTCTGTCATATAACTACAGTACTTTGAACATCAATTAAAAAATAAAATAAGGTAGGAATGATTATATATTGAAGGGTTCTTATAGTAATTATGAGGATAGTCAAATAATGAATGTGAAAGCAGCTTTTAAAAAGTAGTAAATGGGGGCGCCTGGGTGGCGCAGTCGGTTAAGCGTCCGACTTTGGCCAGGTCACGATCTTGCGGTCCGTAAGTTCGAGCCCCGCGTCGGGCTCTGGGCTGATGGCTCAGAGCCTGGAGCCTGTTTCCGATTCTGTGTCTCCCTCTCTCTCTGCCCCTCCCCCATTCATGCTCTGTCTCTCTCTGTCCCAAAAAATAAATAAATGCTGAAACCCTGCAAAAATTAAAAAAAAAAAAGTAGTAAATGCCACCATATGTCAAGTAAATATTATTCCAAACAGCACTTGAACCTCTATAATGACACTTACCAAGTTCTGTCTAGAAATGTAATTAGTTGCTTATTCCTCCTTGGGAAACACCCTACTCACCATGAATTATGTCACAAGTTATTCCAGGTAGACTATCTTTCTTACTTTTATCTGTGTCCCTCTAGTCCCCTTCCAGTCCCATCAGAGCACCTTTTATATAGTGACTTCTTGAGCAGTGCTTCTTGAACTGGATCACTTATAGTAAACCACCATTGTTTTAGACAAACTTCCTTTTTTCTACCACTTTTGTACTGATTGAGAAAATCACAAGTGACTGAGCTTTTTTTTCCAACCAAAGAGAATAAGAGATACAATGTGTGATTATCAAAGACTGGACATTTTACTTTATTATTTTTTAATGTTTTATTTATATTTGAGAGAGAAAGAGACAGAGAGCCAGTGGGGAAGGGGTAGAGAGACGGAGACAGAATCTAAAGCAGGCTCCAGGCTCCGAGCTGTGAGCTGTCAGCACAGAGCCTGACATGGGGCTCGAACTCACGAGCAGTGAGATCATGACCTGAGCTGAAGTTGGACACTTAACTGACTGAGCCACCCAGGTGCCCCAAAACACTGGACATTTTAATGGTGCCCTTTTAACTAGTTTATTTTTGTATGAAATGTGAGGAATACAGATTCAGATGTAAAAAATGTCACAAATTGAAAACAGTTGAAGAAGCGAGTTTTATGAAATCAGTTTAATGCCACTAAGGGTGAAATAAGAGAAAAAGAGAATAGGCCTATGAATTAAGTCCACATTGGTGTGCTTGTGGTCTCCTCTAGGATTTCCTGGAGCCCTGTAGCCCTTATTCACCACCCACATATACATATATAAAAATATACCATCTATAAATAGCCATTTGCCTTTTCAGTGAAATTAAAGATGGGAGAGTTAGAAGAGAATTTCCCAGTATAATTACAGGGCTCAAACCTACAGCTGCTGTCCTCCTATAGTTCTCCCCAAAGAATTTCTAATATCACTATTTTTTATCAAGAGCACTTAAAAAATTGTTGAATTACAAAATGTTGTCAACAGCACATTTATTTATTGCCATAATTTCCCACATACCCACTTAAAAATATTACGTGTTGCATAGGATTATTGTGTAGAATAATTTTGGTTTATAAACTACAAAAAATTCTCACAAGTGTTTCTGCTCCTTATCTAGGGATTAACACCAAACTGCTGCCAATGTTTTAAACTCTACACATGCCCTTTCACAAGCACTCTCTCTCACATATTTTCTGCTAAGATGTGCCTCTTTAAAAATCCATGAGCTTCTAAAATTCTTAGGTAAGAGTCAACTGTGTAAGCATGCATCCCAATGTGAAAAGAATTAAACCCAACACTTTTATCTTTGCTTACAAAAAAAGCAGGTAGTAATTTATTCATACACAGTCTTTGTTCCCTCACTAAAGACCAACGCTCTTCAATCTTTGGGCATCCTTCAGGATGAAGCAGCTCTGAAAAGAGTAAGGGGACACATTTATAGCAGTCACACTGCTCTACCCACACAAGGGTCTAAGTGCCTTTAGCAGTTAATTTGTGAGCAAAAAACCCCATTGGGAGCCTTCCACCTACTCTAAAAGCAAACATTCTTAACAGGCGGTATTAGTGTGGTGTTAAAAGAGGCATGCTTTAACCTAAAAGGTGTCATTTTATGAGCAAAAACTGGATAAACCTAAAGAGACTTTAAGTCGCTATTTTTTTCCTTCCTTGAAGCCAAAATCTTCACAGATTCAGATGACCTCACACTCATTGTGATGTTCAAAACCCAGGAGGATCTTAAAAGATGCTCTGCACAGAGTGCAGCGGTGTGGCTCCCTCCTCCTGGTGAGGACTGTCATTGGTTTTCCTTCTGCGTGTTTGTAAAACACGCCAGCCATGTGAGCAAGCCTGTTAATTAAAACAAAAACGGAACTGTTTCTGTTGAGCTTTAGAACTACAGAAGCTTAGAGCTGAAGTGGGGAAGGAGAAATAGCAGCGTCCAGTCTGCTGCTGGGTCTTGATGGCTGCCCAAGAATGGAGCGACTGTTAGGAAAAGCCAGAAAATAGGCACCTGATTTAAAGAAGAGAGAAGAGTGGAAAAAAAAAAAAAATTAAAGCTAGTGAGGCTCTTGGAATTGGAAGTATTTAGAATGCCTTTATCATTTCCCTGAGGGACTGTTTAATATCAAAGTGCCTGGTTAGGAAGGCTTCTCAGTCTAATCTGATTCCAAAGTTAGCCTCTCAGACCAGAGAAAAGAATAGCTTCAGTGGCTTGAGGCCATCCTGGGGTCAGGCATGGAGTCTATTCCTGCCGGAGCTGCTGAGTCACTGCCACCTCGGGGAATCACTTGACCTCTGGTTTGGTTGACCTAGAAGGTAGAGTGAAGCCTACAGCTGAGAAGCCTCCATACTAAAGGCCCTTGCTATTAACTGGAATCATCTGACCAGCCTCCTGAACCCAAAGGATTTAAGAATTAACAAATTAGGTAAGGTGTATTAGAATACAAAAACATCAATTAAAAAGACACACACACACACACACACACACACACACACACACACACACACACGAAGAACTCACTGAATTCTTCCCAAGAAAAACATCACCAGAAAAGCAGACCAAAAATATTTTCTAGTCCTCTTTCAAATATGTTCTGCATCTCTGAAGGGTCAGATAGCACCTCTCTAAAAGATGCTTATTCTGTACCTTCAGTAAGTTAATAAGTTATCCAAAGCAAGATGTGAAAAGGCTTAGGGTTGTGTGGAAGGTAGTAGGCAGGAAGCAGCAACAACAGGAAAAAAAAATTAAAGGACAGATAAAGCATTCATTACACTATATTTTAAAAGGCAATAAGACTTCACTAATATAGAACATCTACGTGACAGACAGATCCAATGGTGTCCCTCCACACCTTCTTTTCATAACACAAAATTCTGTTCTTTAGCTTAAATATATATAGAAATTGTAAACTAAACATTCACTTTGTATTAAAAAATTTTATTTTGTGATCTGTACATGTGATAAAGTGGGGCTTCCTTGTAGACTTTTAAAGGAAAAACAAAACAAAAACCCAAAGTAAAAATGTATAAATACAATATATATTTTCTTACAAAAATGGGAGATTTACAAAATATACATACTGCACTTGTCTCTATTTTACAAATTTCACATGCAAGAGATATAACACAAAAGATGCCAAAAAACTGTATAGTGGGAGTTTTAAATCTGACAAATGAGACCATTTTGGAAGTTTAAGAAACACAAGGTTGATGTTAACTTTAATATAAAAAGCAGCTCCACTCAAGTGAACATTACATATATAAAGTAACTTGTACTCCTGACAGTACCCTCTCTGATCTGAAAACTGTTTAAAACAGCATTTTAAAACTTGTTTTGAGAAATAGGATAGTGTTGCAAGATTGGAGGGTGGTGTCAAAGGTGGAGTAAAGGTTAGCTCCCATGATTCTCTGCTCAGCTTTAGAGCATTATGCAAAAGAATCAGAGTTCTATTATAGAAAAAAAAAAAGTACATGATTTAAGATTAATAAATTTAAGTCATGCAGCACATTTCAAAGAACTCCAGAATTACTTTGAAGTTTACCTTCTTTTAATGACTTTCCTTAAAAATGGGACCCATGGTTTGAATTGTCCGCTTCGTTCATTATCATTTCTGTAGGTCACCTCCCCACCCAGCCACACAAAAACAGGGTCAGCATACACATGATGTTTTATAAACGGATTTATGGAACTCAGAAAACAGTACAAAAATGGTTCTTTACTTAAAAAAAATTTTTTTAACTTCTTTATTATGGAGGCTGAGGGTATTATTCTTTTCCTTTTATCTTGAAGGATTCAAATTGGAAGAAAATAGAAAACCTAAATGTAGGTTTATAGGAAGAAAAAAAAATAAAGGCAGAGATTTCCCTGAACATTTTAACAGAGCCTGTAGACAGGATCATGTGTTCTGAATTAAATTTATTTAAAACAAATACAACAAAACCCCTTGCATTTTCCTTTAGCCGAATCAGAACCTCTGCCTGATTGGGGTATGGGAGCACACTGCCCTTCACTTTTCCTTAAAAAGGAATGTTTATCTCAGCCAAATTAACATCCAAAAGGAAACCTCTGATTTGTGCTACTTTGCCTATAAAAGTTGCTGTCTTCACAGTTATGCCTTTCCAAAGGGAGACACTTTTGTTTCCTCTTTTGTCTCTTACAACAAAGACAAGGGGAAAAATGCACTCCTGTTTTGAAAAGCAACAAGTCATTACTTCTTTTCAGAGTATTAAACCAAATAAAACACCCTTCTTTCTTCCTTCTGCCTTCTGCAGGAAATAAAAAAGTAGCAGAAATACCTACTACTCGTCTCCTTTGCCTCATCTCGAAATGTTATCTTCATTTCTTTGCATCCTCACATTAGGATTCGAGGAGGCAAGCCTCTCAAGACTTCCAAATGCTTATTTTACAAGAACTTGAAAGGCGTAGGAGAGGAAAAACAGGCGGGAGGGGCCAGGGGAGGAGAGCCTGTAATGTCTGACCCTGGAAATTAACCCATCTGGGCTCCAGTTTGGCCCCAGTGAAAGGAGATTATGGTTTGACCACCGCTTGACAAGGACACCGCAGGGAGTCCTCCCTTTTCCCAACAAAGCCGCCGCCGCAGACAGAGCTGTACCTTTCACCCGGGCCTCACAGGAGTGAGGACAGGCCACTTGTCTTGCAGCAGGGGAACCGCTCACAGTCCCAGTTCAGCCCTGGAGCCGGGAAGAACTCAGAGCAATCTCTGCTGGGTTCAATCTTGATAGACCCCGGTCAGCCCACACCGTACGTGATTAACATCATCGTTATCATCATCATCATGATCATCATCCTGCAAGTCTTTGCCAGAAGTCTTTTCATTCAAACCGTTTTTCCACCCAGACCTCCTTACCCAAACACACCTCTCGTCCCAAATCTACATATCTCATCTCTCTTCCAGGTCCCTTCTCCTTGGAGGGCAAGGAGGTTACAGACACCCCCCACCCCAGCAGTTCTCTCCTTCCCGTGCCTCTCCCCCTCGGAGGGGATGGGGGAAGGGAGGGTGGGGGAGGGGCCGGGGCTCATACCGCAGTCTCCCCCTTGCTGCTGTGGCTGAGTCTGTGATAGAAGCGGCGCCACGACTGCAGAGTCTTGCCGGACCAGATCCAGAAGCCAGTGGTGATGCCCACGATCATGGTCATCAGGTACTTGATCATGAAGACAGTGAAGTCAGGGCTCATGGGCGGGAAATGGCCAGGCGGGCAGGGCACCGCGTAGCTCTTGCAAGTCTGCAGGAGCCAGGTGCGCTCCCAGTGTTCGCGGAAGGCCTGCTCATAGAAGTAGCAGGCCAGGACGATGGTCGCCGGCACAGTGTAAAGCACGCTGAAGACGCCGATGCGCACCATAAGCTTCTCCAGTTTCTCGGTCTTGGTTCCGTCGTGCTTCATGATGGTGCGGATGCGGAAGAGCGACACGAAGCCGGCCAGCAGGAAGGACGTGCCAATGAAGAGGTAGACGAACAGAGGCGCCAACACGAAGCCTCGCAGCGCATCCACGCTGGACAGGCCCACGTAGCAAACCCCACTGAGCAAGTCCCCATCCACCTGGCCCATGGCCAAGATGGTGATGGTCTTGACAGCGGGAACGGCCCACGCGGCCAGGTGGAAATACTGAGAGTTGGCTTCAATGGCCTCATGGCCCCACTTCATGCCAGCTGCCAGGAACCAAGTGAGCGACAGGATGACCCACCAGATGGAACTGGCCATGCCGAAGAAGTACAGCACCATGAAGAGGATAGTGCAACCCTCCTTCTTGGTGCCCTGCGCCACCGTGCGGTAGCCGTCTTCTGAGAAGCGCTCCACGCACACCGCGCGGTCCTCCAGCAGGAAGCCGGCCACGTGCGCCACGGCCACCATGAAGTAGCAGCCCGACAGAAAGATGATGGGCCGCTCGGGATAGCTGAAGCGCCTCATGTCCACTAAATAGGTGAGCACGGTGAAGAGCGTCGAGGCGCAGCACAGCACCGACCACACGCCCACCCAGAGACGGGCAAAGCGCCTCTCCTCTTCCTTAAAGTACATTAGGCCGTTGGCACGGCCCGGCTCGCACGGGGCGCCGCAGTCGCGCTCGCCCAGGAAGCGGTAGCCCAGGTAGGGGGGCACCTTGAGCTGGCGGGGGCAAGAGAAAGGGAAGGCAGAACGGCCCCTGCCGTCAGCGGCCCCCGGGGGCAGCGCGGTGAAGGGCAAGTCCGGCATGTAGGGCGCGGTGGGGTAGGCTGTGGGGCCGCCACCTGGGCCCCCGGAGCCGTCCGACGTGTTCTGGCCCACGCAGATCTCGCCGGCGCCGTGCACCGGGAAGTTCTCGCAGCGCAGCCGCTCTGGCCACTGGAAGCCGAACTTGTTCATGAGCGCTTCGCAGCCCTGGCGGGCACGCTCGCACAGAGAACGGCACGGCGGGATGGCCTGATCAAGCACCGTGCACACGGGTGCGTACATAGAGCACAGGAAGAAGCGCAACTCGGGAGAACACTGCACCTTCACCAGCGGGTAGAACTGGTGTACCTCGAGGCCCGCGTCCTCTTGATTCGTGTGGCCTAGCAGGTTGGGCAGGATGGTCTGGTTGTAGGCAATGTCCGTGCATAGTGGGATGGAGATGGGCTGGCAGAAGCCGTGGTCCGGTACCGAGATGCCCTTCTCGCCGTGGTAAGGCTGCGCCCCGGCACCGGCGGGCAGCGCGCCCAGCAGCGCAAGCACTAGAGTGCACAGGCCCAGGGGCGAGCGCGACGCGGCCGCGCCGGGGCCCCGCATCGCCGGCCACGGGTGCAGCGGCGCTCTCAGCCGGAGGAGCGCGACGAGGCAGCCGAGAGAGGCTTGGATCTGGGGAGGCGCGGCCGCGCCCGGCTCATGAGAGTCCTCCCGGCGCCGGGGCCGGGCCGTGGGCGGCGCGGAGCTGAGGGCGCTGCAGCTGGGGTGCCCGCGCCGCGTGGGCGCCGCAGCCGTCTCCGCCCAGCACTCGATCAGTCGCGGGGAGCCCAAACTCGCCTGCCTGGGCCGGGGGCGCCAAGGGGGGCGGCCTTCTCCCGCCGCGACGTAACGGTGTGGCTTTTTCTGCGGCGAGGAGCAACAAGCGTCTCCGGTTACCCTTCAAACTTCGCTCAAGTCTCTCGACCCACAGCGCACAGTAACGCACGCGCCCCCCACACCAAGTCTGGCCCGGGGCAGCCGAGAGCCCGGCGCCGCCGCCTGCTAGCCGAGGCCGCCTCCTCGGCGGTGCTGCTCCGCCTCCTCTCCTCCAGGCTCTGCTCGCCGCCACCTCCTCCTCGTCTCCTTTTCTACTCCCCCGCTCCTTCTTCAGCCCCAAAAGCTCGGCCCCCAAGTTTGTGCCAAACGGATGATTCTCGTTCTGAGTCCGATAGGAGCCTTAGAGCCAAGAGCTCAGCTAGTTCTTTTTGGAAATCCAATTATACTGCGTCCCGAAGCTGCGAGGGCCCTATGCCCGCGGCCTGGGCCTGGCCTCTCCAGCCTCGCGAAGCCCTGGCCCGTGAATCCCAACGCCCGCCGCCGCCGCCCGCCGGGAGGGAGCGCAGAGTAACGCCTCGGAGTCGCGCAACTCGCCAGAAGAAGCGTCGGGCTCGCAGGGTTCCGGGCCGCCCCGCCCCCTCCCCTCCCCCCATTCACAAACCACTCCGGGGGCGGGCCCTCGAGTTCCAGGGCGGCCCAATGGTAGCCTTTGTTTTCTGTGCGGCGGCCTCCGGATTGGGTGGAAGTCGGAAGGGCCGGGCGAGGGAACCGGAGAGGCGGAGTTTGCAGCGCTCTGGGCGGATTCCTGAGGGGAGGGGCAGGGGGCTGGGACGGAAAAGTTAAGAAAAACTTTTACGGTGAATTCGCTCGAGGGTGGGGGGCGGGGGGGTAAACGCGCCAGAAAGGGAATTTGCTTTATAGATTTGTTCCTCTTCCGGGTACACTAAAATACACATTTTCGAACCGGAGGGCGCACGGAGAGAGGCTTTTGCTGGGAGAAGCTGAGAATAGCGCAGCGCCTCAGCGGAGAGACTTGACCCGGAGTCACGTTAGACCTGCCAGAGCTGAAAATGCGGGGTCTGGCAGGGGACTTTTGGGTATCTGGATCCTAAGTGTGGGGTTCGGTACCGAGCGAGAAGGGGGTGCGTCTCGCAGATCGCTTTTTTCTCCCCAGACCCAAACCGACCACGTGAGGCCACAGTCTCTCTCACTCCCTCTCCCCGGCTGTAAAAAGGAGGAGGGGCTGCGTGCGTGGAGAAATAGGAGTCGGGAGGAGGGGGCCGACTTAAGGCGGGAGGAAGTGCAGACCCCACCGAGGAGTGGGGGCCCGGGAGCGGCGGGCGTGGGGGACCCGGGCCCCCAGGCCACCTCTCCCGCGCGTACGGCTCAAAGTCTAGAAATCTGGTATGGTTTTAGTGCGGTTATGAGAAAACTAAGACAGTGTTGTGGGGGAATAGTTATAAAAGTACCTGAGACTGAATCCCCAGGAACACTCTGTATGGTTTAAAGTGAGCCTTCGATTGCGGTGCTTTCCTTAGTTCTTCGGCATGTGGCCATTCGGGATCCCCTCCACGATGCAGAGGCAACGACTTGATCCTCTAGTTGAAATGTGCGTAGAAAAGTTTTAATGCGCGTTAGAAACCAGGGGATTTGCTAATTAAGAAGTTTTCAAAACACAAAGAGAGGTTATACGTGTTCCCGGTGGCGTTTTCTGATTGGCAAGCAATCTTTTGTTCCCCGGTCAAAGCTTCGCCCTGCTCACCGCACTGGCGCTCCCGTGCGCTCTCCGGTTAGTTCCGGCGAAGTCAGAATTTACTGGGGGGAGGGGGGGGGTGGTGGTGGAGGCTCTCCTCTCTGGGCAGCAAAGAATATCCTGAATTCCCGTGCAGGAAACTGACATGTTGAGAAAGGAAAAATCTGTCTCTCGCTCACCGTCACACACACACACACACACACACACACACACACACACACACACAGGCACGCACACACACGGATCAATACTGTGCTCAAGAAAACGTTACTCCTGGCTGAGCCTTTCCTTCTGCCAGTCTCAGGTCCAAGGCGCTGGAACCCTGAGGGATTTCTGATCAGGCTGTTTATTTGCAGAAGTTCCTGCCTCTACTGCCTCCCGTGAGCTTCTTCTCCAGCAATTAAAAAATGGTTCTGAAATCTAAGACAATTAATTGGGTTCCCTTCCGTGGGGGGACTTCGGTTTCCTCTGTTTTTCTTTTATTTATTTTCTATTACTGAAGTTTACTGAGCATCTTACCTTCCATTTCACAATTCTTTGTCGTTTCCCACTCTTGTTAATGGATCTGGGGAGCTGAATCATTTGGGCCATGATGTTAGACTGCTCACATTCTCCATCCGCCCCTCAACAGAAGTCCTTATATTTTTTTCTTCCAAAGCATCAGTTTCCTTCTCACACCCAGGACCTTATTGGTTTTCTTTTGGGTTATCTGCCTCAAGGTAATACAAAGGATTAATGACATTTACTTTAAAAAACAGTTTATTCCTTCCTTGTATTTTTTTAAAAGCTCCTCTTTTTCTTTCTAAATTATTATTCTTACTACCTAACATTGGGGAGCATTGATACTGCCTTGAAAGATGTTGTTTAAAGACAATGCTGCTGCTTTGCTTTGTCATTTAAAGTGTGTGTGGTAGGGGGTTGGAAATCCTTTTTTCTCTCTGTGAGCTTCTGGATATCCTCCTTTTCTAAATCAAATTTTCATGCTTATTCATCAGGCCACTGATCTAAGTCATCTTTGCTTATTGAGGGAGAAATTGCAAGCACTGTCATCAAATAAAATGAAAACCGACAGGATAAAATACTGTATCTCAAATACAGCTAAAACCAGTTTAGTTGATGAGTTTTTACTTCCCATATTATAGCCCCAGACAGCTTGCTGATGAAAGGTAATAGGGATAATTATTTAGAAAGAAAAAAGGAGAACCCTGTAAGAAATTACAAGGGGTGAATGGAATATTTTAAAAACAGTCTATGCATAAGATGCAGAAAGCCAATCCCAATGGAAAGCATCACAGATGTCTTGTTTCTCTGTCCCAGGAAAACAAGTGCAAAAAGCATAAAAGCAAAGACTAATTGTTTTGGAGAGTATTTTGTTTTTTAAAATGATTTTTAAAAACCCACTCCAAAATTATTCTGAAAAATAAGGATTTGCTGTTTCTGAGAGGGGTGTGGTAGCTGTCCATGCCTTGCCTGATACAGAATGCTATGATTTCAAAGAGCTAAGTAATAAAAGAGAGTAGATCCGAAAAGGAGGTTCACAATGTAGGGGGCTAAATAAATAGTGTGTGTTAGGCTCTACGGTAAGTGTAGTAACATTGGTTCATATTCTCTCCAGGATCAATTTAATTTTCTTTTCCAAGCAACTCTTTCCACACCCAACTCCCAAAGCCACTAACTGGTATCATCTTTGGAGAGCTAAGGGTGGAAAATTTTGTAACTGTCTGCTGCAAAACTTCCAATTGTCCCTGCCCTTTAAAATAACAAAGGCTTTTATTTCTTCACATCATAGTCATATGGTCTTACAAAAAAGTGATGGTATTCATTGGATCCAGTTATTTAAATGCTACTTATCTTGGCCAAGTCCCAGGTTTATCTAGTTGAATGACATTCTGATGTCAGGCCAGATTAGCAAATGGCCACCTTCATGGTGCCACTATCCTGTCTGTGGTTGTAGTGAAACTCCAGCTGCAAGAATTACTCATGCAAGATGAGAAAGGGCAGCTTTTAGCCTATATGTTCCTTTTGGCCTCTCTTTTATCCATTTTTGACTTTATAACGTTAAGGACTTGGAATTTCAAGTTGCCAGATTGCCATTGAATTCCTTTCATTTTAGTTTGGGGTGTTGGATCATTCCCAGAATGGGAATGTTCTTACCCTAAGCAGACTTTCAAGTGTAATGAAAGTGAGAGATGTCTAGATTGAATAAAAGGAAGTCTATGCTGAAGTCCTGATAAATGTGCTAGTCCCCACCCAGTAGAGATGATTCATATCATTCAATCTGTTTGACCATTTCTCTTGTTGCTTGAGGCTTGCATTAGTTATCTATTGTTGTATAACAAATTACCCCCAAACTTGGCAGCTTAAAACAACAGACACTTAATATTTCACAGTTTCTGTGTATTGGGAACCTGGATGTGCTTAGCTGGGTCCCCTGGCCCTCTGGCTTGGGATTGCTCATGGAACTGCAATTAGGGCGCTGGTGGGGCTACAGTTACCTCACAGTTCGACTGGAGGAGGATCCACTTCCAAACTCACTCATGTGGCTATTGGCAGGCCTCAGAGTATCCATTTCCAAGGTCATTACATGGCTATTGGCAGGCCTCAGGTTCTCACTAGCTGTTGGCCAAAGACATCAGTTCCTTGCCTTGTGGGCCTCTCATAAGACCACTTATAACATGGCACCTTGCTCCCCCAGAACAGGTGCTGTGAGGAAGAGGGAGGGAGGGTGAGAGAGCAAGAGGGAGAGAAGATGACAATCAAGATGGAAGTCACAGTCTTTCTGTAATCTTAGAAGTGACATCCTGGGATGCCTGGGTGGCTCAGTTGGTTGAGCATCCGACTTTGGCTCAGGTCATGATCTCATGGCTTGTGAGTTCGGGCCCTGCATTGGACTCTGTGCTGACAGCTCAGAGCCTGGAGCCTGCTTCAAATTCTTTGTCTCCTCTCTCTGCTCCTCCCCTGCTCACTCTCTCTCTCTAAAAAAAAAAAAAAAAATAGATAAACATTAAAAAAATAAAGAAGTGACATCCCATCACTTTTGCCATATTCTATTCATTAGAAGCAAGT